AAATATCAATAAAGATGATCTGATCCTTCAATTAATTAAACTTGTGTATATTTCTTTTATAGTTTAGACGTAATTAAACTTCCTATTAGCAAATATAAATTGTTAACTTAATGACGTACAGATTAAGCTTAACAAAATCACTGTCTATAATCTATAGTAGTCAAATACAAGCAGAATTATATTACTTTAAACTTTGAGGCCTTAGTAGTAATTTAGATTTTTAGGAAAATTTAGACATATTTTTATAGTTAATAATTCAAAATCTATACAAATTATAATATATTAGTATAGCTTTTAAATATGAAAATATAAGATTGCTAAATAAAATCTAGAATTTAGATAATCGTTTAAATGATAAAGGTAAAACTTAGATTAAAACCTTATTAAAAAATTTGCAAAATTCAAAAAAAGGTAAAACTATATTAAAATTTATAAAAATAGTAAAACTATACAGTCAAACTTTGATATAGCGAACCCTTGATATAGCGAATTTTTAAATCAAATATATTAAAATTACCTTTACTATAGTGAACTAGCCAATTAAATTCTTTAAAAAATTCGTTATAAGCTTATAACGAAGTTGATATCCAGATCCTAGAATTCGTTATATCAAAAGTTCACTGTATTAAACATTTAGTAAAAATTTAGTGAATCTAAAGGTTTAGACATTTAGCTAAATCCAAAATCAGTTTAGATAAGCAACCTTATTGAAATACAAATAGAAAATATTCTAGATGAAGAATAAAATTTTATAAAATAATTTATAAAAGAAAATATAATTTAATATCAGACATACTATCTAATTTCCTATTATATATTATATTAAATTCAAATCATTGTAAAAAATAAATAAGAAAAAATACTAGGATTTTTTTAAATATTTAATAACTCTAACTTATCTTATTGCGACAACTTAACAATAGAAAAATCAAATAAGAAAATAAATTTATAAATATTTTATTTTAGTATAATTGCATTAAAGATAGAAATTCCTAAAATGTTATTACTTAAATAGTAATAATTTAAATTTAGTTATAAATCTATTAATTTTTAAATAAAATTTTATTTTTAATAATGAAAATTATTTGTAATCACTAGACAATTACAATCATTAGATCATTTAGAAGATTTGCTAGGAAAATGAGGTTTTGAACATTTTTTATTAAAATTTTAATATATATTGCATTTTAATTTAACATTATCAAAAATTAAAATGCAATAAAAATTAAAATTTTAATAAAAATTTCTCAAAGTCACATTTTCTTAGCAAACCCTATATAATATTATATTAAAAAATTTGAATTATATAATTATATAATAATCTATTACAACTACCATATTTTATTTTTTACTATTTAATTTAAAAACTTAGTTTTTTTAGATATAAAACATATTTATCACTTGTTATTTTTCACAGATATCACTTTCAATTTGTATTTTGATATTAAGATTAGGTAAATTAGGTTAGTTTTAATAAAATAAAATCATATATTATTATATAGAGGGTCTTCAAAAGTTTATGTATATGATTGTAATTGTTGTATATCTCAAATCTTAGTAATTCAAATTGAACCAAAATTTAATATATTGATATAAATAATAACATATAAATTCTTGTTAATTATTTTTTATAAATAAAATATATATTTGATTTTTCAATAAACTGTAATTTAAATTAGCTTAAACTTTTATATTTATAGAATTAGATTATATTAATAATATATTAAATTTTGGTCTAATTTTTAATCATTAGATTTTATTATATGCGAAAATATTAATATATTTTTTGCAAATTTTTATAAAATTTTATATTATTATTATTTTAAATTTCTCATTAACTAGTGATTAAAAATTTATCTATAATATATAAAAGTTTGTTTAATTTGAATTACTAAATTTTGAGAAAATTGATATTAAAGATATTAAAAAATATGTGTAAACTTTTGAAAACCCTTTGTAATATCACATAATCTGATAATCGTAACTACTAATTATATTTAGAAATATTCTTTAATAATTGAAGTATTAAATATATATAAATTTTAACTTTAAATTTATGAATTTTTTATAAATAAATAATATTTAAATATATAAATAAATGTTTTAAATATAAATTTATATATTATGTAAAGTTTTTTTTTTCAATAATATAAAAATAAATAAAAATTATAAATTTTAGCTTTTATAAAGAAAATAATTTTATTAAAAAATATTCAAAATTTTAATCATAAATTAATGCAAAAAGTTATTAATTAATTTGAATTTTTTTTTTTGATTTTACTTGAAAAATATTATTTTTTTGATAACTAATTTTTAATATATATAAATTTAACTTTAATCATTAAGTATAATTCTTTTTAATTTGAAAGAAAAACAATTAAAAGAATAATTATAGAATTAATATTATTTGATCTATATAAAGATATTATAGGAGTATATTTAAAAATAGATTTAATCTACAAAAAATTAAAAAAAGATATTACTGATCCAAAATATATAAATATATCTAAAATTATATTAGAAACAGTTTTATATGTTAAAAGAGAGAAAAATTTTACAAAAATAAAAAGCTTATCCAATTTTAGTAAAAAAGGCTTTTTATCAAATTAGAAGAAATATTAAAGAATTACTATTTCTAACTAAAATAGATAATAATACATAATTATTGCAATAAACTATTTGATCAAATGACTAGAAGTAAGATTATTAAAACAAGTAAAAGCATCTGATTAAATTTACACTATTTTAATTGATTTATAGTAATATAACTGATAAAACCAAAAAGTTGCAACTTATAAATTTTTGAAAAATAACATATTATTAAACTGGAAAAATATTAGAAAAATGATGACAAATAAAGTTTTTAAGAAAAATAAGAAAAAAAAATTATAAAGAAAGGTAATAAATAGAGCTTTGAATCAGATCAGAAAATGAAAAATCCAGATTAGATAAATAAATTTCAGGTTATATCAGATTAGGTCAAACTTATAACCTGATCTAATAAAATTCAGGTCAACCAATCAAATTAAACAAAATAAAGAATTTTAAAAAAAAGTTTTTTTTTAATATATTTTTATTTAATCACTTTCTTTTCATATTCTAATATTCTAATAAAGTTATATTATAATATAAAAGATAACTTTTAAATTATAACCATTTTTTGCATATCAACTATGGGCACCTAAGTAAAGTTGTTCAGCGGATTCGAAAATATGTGATATAAATTTTTAAATGATAATACAATTAATTTTTATATTATTTATACTAACAGAGAGTAAATAAAATTTCAATGTATTGATCGTATGATCGTATCTGATCGTATCATGTAAAATAATGTTAATTGTATGTTCGTTATGTATCCATCACATGAAATATTTTGTTTTTTGTAAAGTTGGAAGTTTATAAAATAAAAAAATTTAATATAATAATATAACTATATGATATTTACAAATAAGGTAATAATTAAATATGAATACATTATACGCATGAAAAGAAAAAGTTCCTATATGATGTAATTGAGCAAATTCTGTAATAATTTCTTTTTTTTTGATTAATGATAAAGAATCAGAAATAATAATAATATTCGTAAAAGGGAAAACCATCTCCAACGATAATATTTTTCCCAAGTAAATTCTCCCGAATATCGGTTTTTTTTTTTCAAATATAATTTGGTGTGGATTTTTTTTTTTTTATTCTCTTTAAAGATAATATATAAATAAATATATAATATTAATAAAAAGAAAAACTCCCGTTTGTCTCTTTCGGATTTAATTAAGTATACTATACTATACAGCAAAACCCATGATCAAAATTTTCGTAACGTAGACTTTTTTTCTTCTTGGTGGAATTTGTGGGTGTGGCATCATTAAGATTTATTTGTTAATAGGAAAAGAAAAAATAAAGAGTGATGATAAATTTAAATTTAAATAAAATTTTACCCATTTGTTAAGATTCACAGGAATGAAAATTTACAATGGAAATGATACTGTTTGGGATCTTTCATTAAAATAAAACTGTCAGAAAAACTTCACACATTTAAAAATAAATTGTAATTTTTTTTTTTTTAATTAAGAGAAATAAATATAATAAATTGAAAAAAAAAATGGAAAAAAAAAATCCCCACTCACTTTTTTACAAAAAAAAAAAAAAGGGAAAAATTATCGCAATTTTTTTTTAAAAGAATTTTGTTAAAAAAAAAGAGAAATGAATTGTAATGAATATGAATTAAAAAAGAAATTATATATATATATATATGTGTGTGTTTTCTTTTGTTTTGTTTCTTCTTCTTCCAAGCTAGTTGGAAAAAAAAAATATTATTAAAGAATGGAAAAGTGAGTGGGTGGGTTGTAAATCAATACAATAAAAAGAAAGATGCGTAAAAAAAATTGATGCCATATGATACATAGAAAGGGTGGAAATGGTGATTAAATAGGGGAAGGGATTACAAGAATTAAAATAACAAAAAGGATTAATAACTTTTGCGATTAATGTCTATCGGTAGTCTAAACTAATTTTATTTTTAAAGAAGAAAAAAAGGAAAAAAATGGCACCAAGCCGGCGGTTCCACAATTCCACCACCAATAGAACACACAAAAAACTAACCAAGATCTAAAGAAGATAATGTAAAATGTTTTACATCTTATAACCTTAAACCCAAAGAAATGTAAATGATTTTTTTGATTTTTTTTTTTTTTTGATTTTTTTTTTGTCAATGAATGATCCCCTAGTGACCGACATTTAAAGTTTAAAAATTTTAAAATATATTTTAAAAAAAAATTTCCATATCTCTTAAGTTTTTCTTAGAAAACTTTATTGTTTCAACCTCATAGAAAAAAAGAAAAGCATATCAGTTCACGTGTTATTCTACATAATTAACCTTGTTTTGATGTATTGGTTTTAAATTATTAATTAAGTAATTGATGTGTGATTAAATTAAAATTATTGTCTTTCATTAATAAAAAAAAATGGCGTTATATATTTATTATATAACGTTACCAAATTTAGCAATATGCAACATCTCCAACCCAAGCAGAAGTGTCGAGATTCATCGTATTAGAACCATAATTGTCATTACCATGAATGTTATCGTTAAAATTTAAGAATTCGCTTCCATCTGAAGCAGTATCTGAACCACTGCTCATAAACATATTTGCGAAATCTTCGTTAGATACATTTTGTAGATCATGACTGTTCATTGGAGGGGCAAACGTAACCATTGCGGCTGCTACTTGCTCATCAGAAAGTAAGGTGGATGTAACAGAGTCCAAGGTAAGATTACTTAAATTATGTGAAGGTAAAGATACGAAGGGATCTTGATTTAAAAGTGGTGATGAATCCATTAAGGCTGGAGAATTGTCAAATACATCAAGAGGAGTGGATGGTGAAGAGTTAAGTTCCATCGGTGAAGAGCAGAATTCTGGAGAACTATCGGCTTTGAACATTTCGAGGAAATTTGTTGAAGTATCAATTTGAAGATTTTGTTGAGACATTGGAATTCCTAAAGAGGAGTTTCTATTTTCTTCCGAGGGTGATATTGGTGCTGAAGCAGATCGACGTTGAACACGGACCATTTGATTTAAAAGGTTCATCTCATGTTTAATATTTCCTTTTTGAGGATCAGAGTATTGTATATGATTTGCAATCGGTCCACTAACTGGGAATGACGAGCGACGAGGAGGATTTTGTTGTCCGTTGTTATTCATCATGATATCATCTTCAGCCATATCCGGGCTTAATGGATCAGCCGGTGCTGGAATATCTAATATTGTTACAACTTTGGCAAGATTTTGATCAACTTGCATAAGTTTAATAAGCTGTGGTTTCATTACAACGGAACGGCCTTTCAATACATGTCTCCTGTTTCGAGTTGCTTGTCTGTCTTCGGTAAAATCTTTGCACATATTCCATCCACCATGTGGTGCCTCCATAAAGAAGGAAGGTGGACTCTTTACTTCGATTGCAATTTGTGAATGAACTTCATCAATAGGTCTAAATTCAACTGAAAATATGTCGGAAAGTGGGAACTCCATCTTAAATTGAGTATTCTCATTTGTAATATGATATGTAAAAATGTTCTGTGGTAAAGTGTAATAACATAAAAGGTCAGTAGGAGATGACATGGTTAAAATACGACGCCATGATCCTATCGTAAGAGTTTCACATGAGATAACTGAAGCTACTGCATTATTATTATTATTATTATAAGCCGGAGTGAGGAATTCTTGTGGTGGTGTGAACTGTTGAGGTTGAGGAGATATGGAAGATTGATCTGTAAAAAGATTTAAGTAATTTTGAAAAATGTTAATATGCGAGGTCACGTGAAAAAGTAGTTCGTCAATCAACATTTACCATTCATTTTTATCGGTATTCCATTATTGGGGTTTACAACAAGTCGTAACGCTTGTGCCGAATTCATTGCATTAGAATTAGGACTGGCATTAGGTGAAATTGGGAAACGTTGAGATTGGGTTTGTGGTTGAGCATTTACAAGGGGATTAGCTGAAAAAGGAAAACCGTTCATCAAATGTTCACTAGTAGTCATAGGAATTGGTGCAGTTAAAGGACCAGAAGGCCAAAATCCTTGAGGAACTTGGGGTACTGTGATCCCAAGTCCGGCAGAATTTGGCGCAGAGCGCATGCCTAGAGCATTGACATTGTTAAGAGGTGAAAGATCATTTGCGCTATAAGATCTAGGTAAAGCTATACGTTGATGAATGGGCATACGGTAAGGGAACAAGTTATGTCCATAACCGGGCATACAAGCCATAAAGTGATGTCCAATAGTGTCTTGATTGATCATTAAGTGTGCACGTTTTTGCATCGCCTTCATTTTAGCTCGACGATTTTGAAACCAAATTTGAATTGAACGTTCGGACATGTTTACTTTTTCAGCTAAAGCTTCGCGAACTTTACTATTGGGAGACGTATTTGTTTTAAAAGTATCTTCTAAAATTGCTAACTGTTCAGGGGTAGCACGAGTTCGCTTTTTGTTATTTGTTGATGGTGGCTGTTGGGGGGTGGTCGTTGTTGGTTGAGAGGAAGACGCGGTTGATGGTGATTTGACAGAGTTGGACTTGCCAATCTTGTTAAGCTCGGTGGTCTCCTTACTGCCTGGCTCTGCCTTGCAGCTAACATTGGTGACGTCAGTATTTGCACTTGCACCCTTATTATTATTAATAGGAGCATTTAATTTAACATCATCAAGAGTAGTCATCGAAGCGTTACAATTACTTGAAAGCGAGTTCCCGGAACCCACAGAGGTATCCATGACAGAGACATCTTTGTTATCATTGAGAGCGTGATGAGAACCATTTGGCATGATGGATGATGAAGGATTTGTTAAGCCAACCATTGAATAACCACCTGAATCAGATGCAGCCTTGCTAAAAGCAAAATATTGCTCATCGTCATCGTCAAAAAAATTGGAAGGATTGGTTGAACCAAAGAAGGGTCTCTTGGATGGTCTTTCGCCTAACATAAAGTCTGTCATGATTATTAAATGTGATGATGTTATTTTTTTTGGAACTAAAATTAAATACCACAACAAGGATCGAAAAAGAGAGAGGTTAAAGGATTTTTTTTTGAGATTTTTAAAAAAGGATGGATGTTTTTTTTTTTTTTTTTTTTTTTTTAAAGAAACCGAGCTCGACTTTTTTATCTTCTTCCTAATGGAGAATTAGAGAAGCAATACCGACAAGGTATTTTTGGTATTCCTGTTATTATATAAATGGAAATTTTTTAAATAAATAAATAAAATGATTAACAAATTAAGATGATTATTTTGATTATTATTATTATTATTTTTTGTATAAATAAAAATTAAATAGATATAAGCTGTTTGTTGTGAAATTAAGGGAATGAATGAATGAATCTATTATCTACTTCTATTATCGAAATAACAATAAATAAATAAATCAATCAAGGAATGATATGTAAAATAAAAGATAAGAGTAGATGTAACAACACACTACTTGATGTGTTTTTGTGTGAAGAAGAGGATAAAAACCAAGAGTGGAGGTATTTATAAATTTCAAAAGAACACAAACGAATCAACCGAGATATATTAAAGGTTAGCGAGTTTTAAAGTTACTGTTTGAGTGTTACAGTTACAACTTCACCAACCCTATGCACCAAGCGCACCACTCGGAGTTGTCCTTTATATTACAGAATCTAAAATATATGCCAACACAAAAACGACTAACAATTTGGGGGAAAAAAAGCAAAGATCTTTTTTGGTCGACTTTTAAAAAAAAAGTTGTTGATAATATTTTGTTTTCCCGAGGTTCTGACTCTCGTGATGTTTTGAGATGCTTTTAAACGCTGGATAAATTGGTAAACCAAAATATTTTCTATATAACCTTCTCTTACCCACAAAACACATATATGCATAAATATACAACAAATATATATGTATTTTTGTTTATCTGAAATATATAGAAAAAAAAATAAAAAATAAAAAATAGTTGCCTACCTTTACAAAAGGTTACCTTTATGAACTTTTGAAAATAATAAAAAGGGAAGTGGATAAAAAGAGGAATGTGCTTAGGAAGTTTGGGTAAAGGTTTGGGAAAGTAGTTAATAATAGAGTAGATGGTGAAATGTAAATATTCCCGTTTTTATTATTTTTACAAAATTCAAATAAAAGCAAACTGTCTTTTTCAGAAAAGTCGAGCAATATTGAAGGGCTAAAAGGCGTATTTTTTTTTTAAAAAAAGGGAGAAAAAGAGAGTAAAAAGAATTAAGAATAAAGGAAAGTGGTAAGGGCCAGCAAAGGCAAATTGTGAAAAATTCCAACGTCAAGTCAACCAAGAACAACAGGAGGAGAGAGGAAAGTTGAGCGTTGGTTTTTGAGCTTAAAGGCAGATTGTTTGTTGAACCAACAATCTCAGGGTGAGGAGTACAAATTGGAGTATCGTTACACAAAATAAGCATGGTTGGCATCAAAGATTTTTATTATTGTTTTGATATCAAATAAAGTCTAAAAATGCTCAGTTTGAGAAGTTTCAACCAATCCAGAGCAATGTCCGTTGTGACCGGCTGATCATAGGTTTTTTAGTTTACCCAACATAGAATTTCATCCCCGAAACGATATACTACAGTTGGAAAATATAGTGTCGGGAACCTTTTTTCGGATATTCGTTTAAAAATAAAATAAATAAAAAAAAAGAGATAAAAATAATAAAAGAATCGAATACTAACAAAGTAAATAATTTATTATTGTTGTAAGACGTATATATAGATTTGAAACATATGAATGACAAAAAAAAAGATCGAAATAAGGTAAACTGGGGAAAAACATGGGAATAAGGAACCTGTTTAGACAAATCGAAAAAAATAGAAATTCCATACCAGGAAATGTTTAGATATCACGTAACTGGTTTATATCACCTCAGAGGGATTATTAATCAACATTTCCATTCTTAGCATTGAAGCAAAATCATCGGTAATGGAGAGAGAATAATACTACTATAAGATAATATATTTGACAAATAATTTAATTAGTGACTATAAATGGGTGATGTATAAATGTAAATAAAAAATTCCTTAAGGAATCACTATAACAAGATTATCTTGTGTTGAATTACACTCACTGTCATGTGCACATTCGTTCATTCTTACTCCTTCAAAAGATAAACACGCATAAATTTTCGGAGCGTACAAAGGATCAAAAAAGTAAAGAAAATAATTTGATAGAACTGAAAAAAGGTCACAGACTGCGTTTCATTTTTTTATTTTCATTTTCATTTTCATTCTTTTTTACCTTCAAACAGCAGATCAATAAAGCATTGGATCTTTTTTATTTATTTTTTATGCTAAATTAATGTCTACTACGCAACTCATCAAAACCTAGTTTCATTCCTAATTGACGCGATTTTCAAAACCAAGCAACAAACAACAAACAAAAAGATATAAATTAAAATACAAATATAAAGGGCGAATCGAAGGTTCTAAATGCCACAAGAACATTCCTAAAGGAAAAGAATAGAAACTGGTACAAGCGTAACAAACGTGTGTTGTATAAACGCTTTTTCCCACTGATTAGGAATAAATGATTGAATGCACGCAGTTAGCCGATGAAACTATTATGAATAATCCTAAACATGTAAACAATGTAAGCCTAAACTACTTAGGTTTTTGTTGATATTTCGATCATTCGCTTCTATTTTATTTAAAATAAAAAAAACAAATAAATTTCAAAAAAATGAAATTCAATTGGTATTTGGATAAATTGTTTTACGCAATTCCATAAATCAAAAGAAACAAGAAATATTATCTGTATAAAGGTAAAAAGAAGATTCGTTGAATGGGAAGAATTAAAATTCATTCTTCAGCAGATTTCCCTTACAGATACAATTGTTTCAACTTGGGAACCAATCCGATTTCATTTGACGTGACTGTGAATATTCGATCAAAGATCAAACACATCAATTTATCCATGTGAGTAATCACCAAACCATTATTGGATGTATTGGATATTTGAAACAAAAAAATAATGATACCCGATAATATTATTTCAAATCCTGCAAATATTCCGACGATTTGATTTGATTGGTGCAAATTGTTGGCACATTGTTTTGGCATCTCCGACCGCATACAGCAAACTTCAACCCTAACTGTTAGAGATACAAGTGACCAACAGAAAAACATATTTTGTAAAAAAGAGAAATTCTTTTTTTTTAAAGAAACATGTAGTTTATCATTCCGCGTGATGTACGTAATAAAGTACCAAACTTATTATTAGTTACATTTTTTAATTTATATAAAGAAAATGATATAAAGAACCAAAGAATTCATTGTTAAAAAAAATATTAATAGGACTCGGAAAAATATTTGTTATTTGTGAATCTTCTTGGTTGTGTGTTCCACTTGTGGCAATTTTAAACTATTACTAATGTTGAAACATACAATAAAAGGTGCAATGGTTCGTCCTTTTTGATTAGACCAAGAACCATTTTTCATTTTATCATGTCACGATTTGATTGTCTTATAATTTGTAAACGAAACTGGGTTTGACATTTTAACGCACCAATTAAAAATTATCGTCGGTTTGTGTTTTTTTTTTGCCGTCCGAAATTGGTTATGGTAGATCCCTTTGCGCAAATATATTTTTCCTGAAAATCCGATTAATAATATTTAGTGTAAACCTTTTATGGTTCAGGATTATGTAAACACAATGACGTAAAATGGTTGATCAAACTCCATGCGTTCTCAGTTAAACAACTTTAGGGAAGACCAAACAACCACTAAAATATCAGGCAACTTTATCTTTATAAATTAAGTAAATTTTTTTTCGGTTCCTAATTCGGTATGATGCATACAAAAAAAATTACATGTGTTGTTACATATTTGCAAAATGCTAAAAATTGATATTTTAATCGCTCATGTCCGTACTTTTTCATTATCAAATAGGATCGGATTAAAAATTTTCCATTTGATGATATAGTGATAGCAATGACGGTGATATTCGAACTTTATTTTTTATTAATTTTAGTTTTAAAAAAAATTCTTAAAACCTATTGGGAAATGCCTTTATTTCCTTATTTGAAATTGATAATCACACGTAAATAAAGATCAGTAGCAGGTATAGAATTTGCTAGTGTCAAATAGATAAACCAAGGGATTTTCGATCCCATTTCTATTTTATTTACTTTATTATTTAAAAAATAATATTCTTTATATCTCTGATATATAAAAAATCTTTGATAAGTTAGATTTGCTGATTTGAATATTTGAATTTTCTTAATTAAAAGTTATAAAAGTTATCTGTATGTATCTAAGTTCTGATTATATAAATTCCTCTTAATTTTATCAAAAATCTTTTTCTTTAAAAAAATTTATATATGTTCATTAATAAGAAATAAAAAAAATTTTTTTAAAAAAAAAAGAGAGAACGCATTGGTTTAGATCGTGCATTTGCATTTTTATTATATTATTTTGCATAACACATGCATCGCACTTTTGAGGCAAAATTATATCATTTTTTTGTACTGTATATTCATAAATATTTAAATATTACCTATCGCAAAAATACTAATAATTTTTCTTGGTTGGCGCAGTCACGTGAATCAAGTAGTCGTTCTTAACCTAGAGTAGAGACTTAGGTTAAACCATAACTTATTACATAAAGTGTTATTGAATTAATTACTACTGCGGACTAGGGATCTTTAACCTAATATGATTAATAAATCAATATAAAAACGCGTATTTATATCTTTACAAAAAAATATCATTGATACAAAACCATTATATTATTTCCATGAATATACAAGATATCTTGATGAAAATTTATAAATGAATTTCATTCTATTGAACGATTTTATTTAGTTTTCCATCAAATTATACTGTAAAATCAATGTGACAAAGTAGAAACAAAAATACAAATAATTCAAACACATAAGCTAGCTTATTAAAAATAAATATTAAATAATTATATATCTACTGAATAATCTCAAAACCCAGATATTTGTCTAAAATAATAAAATAAAGCTA